CCACCCTGCACTGCCAGCCCCCGAGGCTCCTCCCCATGACCTCCAGGACCCAAGGCAAACCAGAGGAGAAGGCATCAGGAGCGTCCCCACTCCGCCCCTGCAGCCTGCTGGGACTCGATGCCAGACGGCTGCCCGGGAGATGGGCTGTGTGATGTGCCCAGAGCCCCACAGTTCACACACTGGAAGGGTGGCTGTGGGCCAAGGAGGGTCCTGGGCCTCCGGGTACTTCCCTTATGAGGCCCAGCAAGTGGGTACTGGAGGGAGCTCAGCCCGAGGAGGGATGAGGAGAATTTGAGTTACTCTAGACACCTGCCTGCACCATTATATTTACCAGAATAAATCACTCTTAAAGAAATAAGAGGGGCCTGATGAGAACCGGGGATCCAGAGCCAGAGTGAGGTGCCAAGGCAGGAGGTGCCAGGCTGGGTGCCTGGCCAGGTCCCACCAAGCCAGAGGGCCTGGGGGACTCCAGAGGGGTGAGTCCAGGGGGAGTCCAGGGGTCCTCCTGACACTGGGCCTGCAGGTCTGCCTGTGTCTAGGTTGCTTCCTGCAGGAAGTGGTGGGCTGCCCTGGCACCCCTGCCCACTCTGCCCAATGCCCTCTTCCTCAGCCTACCAGTGGGGCCTCCTGCCGCCCTCAGGATCCCAGATTCCCAGGGCTCTGCCCAGTCTTTCTCGGCCTGGAGACCACCAGCCTGTGATCTCCCCAACCTCAGCTGTCCTCCCCTTGACCACTACTGGCAAGTGGCCTGGTCCCTGCCAATGAAGTCTCCATACACCTCAAGGGCCACCAGACACCTCACAAGGGCTGGCTAGTGACACTCCTGGCCCTGAGATGATGCCCTTCCGCTCAGGAGCAGTGGGCGCTGCTTCTCTCTCCTTAGTAGCCCCAACCCAGCGTTCACAGGCTCCCCTCTCTAACTTCCTGCCCTCCTAAAACCGCTGAAGCCTGCGACCCCTGCCAGGTTCACTTATTTAGCCCCAGGACAGGAGGCTACCTGCAGATCCCCGATGGAGGGATGGGCAGCCAGGCTGGCTGGCAATGGGCTGTACAAGAGTCTGGGCCGGCTGAGCCACAAACAGTCCGCAGGTTGGAGACGCAGGCGAGGCCTCAGCCACCCGTCCTGCCCCAGGCCACCCACGCCTGATTCAGTGCTCTGGCGCTTCAGACTGGTGCTGGGTGCTAGGCACCCAGCCCTGGAGGGCACTCTGCCCCAGCCCTTGTTGCAGCGCGGCATCTGCCACTGGAGGGCGCTGGAGAGGTTGCCCTTCTCCCTGCATTTTGCTGGGGGTTTGGCGTCTCCTCCCTGCTGCTTTGTTCTGAGGGCAATCTCCAACGTGTCTCGGTGCCCCCCCCCCCCAGGGGCCCTGTAACTCCACCTGCACCCTGTGAGCTCTGGGCTCCACCTCTGCGGACCCTCCAGCTCTGGCTCCGTAAACCCCGGTCTTCCTCTTCATCCCGAGCCAGCTGGATGGCAACCACAGAGATGATTCTGGGTAGTCTCAGTGGTCCCCTTTCGTTCCTTTGGACCACTGGTGCCRGGAAGCACCCTGCTAGCCGAGTCGTGCACACGCGCTGTGAACGCGCTCTCATTTGTGCACAGGACAAAGCCAGGACGCTACACAGAGGGCTGCCTCGGAAACTCCAGTCTAGAGCGGGTCAGGCCAGGGCAGGGGCAGCTCAGGAGCTGCCTAGCTAGAGCTGCACTGGGTCACTGTTTCCTGTATGAGTTCCCCGAGGACTCCTCGGGCTCCCTGTGGGCCACAGATAGCTTCCAAGCTCCTCTYGCGTGCATGTCCCTGTGACCCGCCTGCCTCCCCTGCCCTAAGGTTCCTGCCTTGAGCGGTGGGTCACCTGTCCTCCCAGCGGGCACTCAGGGTGTTCTATTCACCAAAGGTTTATCATTGGCCCACACTGCCAGGGGAGAGCATCAGAGGCTGGRGTTGGCAGCTGTTCACTTCGCTTACTCAGGGTGACCTGGCATAGCAGGTACCCAACAAACACAGGTTGAAAGGGTGAAATAAGTTCTGAAAGAGTTCTGCCAAATGGCGCGTGATCCATCTTCCAGCTGCAAACTGTTTGCGACGAAAGTGGCCGCAGTCTTAGGACATTTTCTGCTAAACCAGGAGGTGGCATTGGCGAACCTCTCCACAGCTGCGCGGAGGGAGCCCAGCGGCGCTCGCTTCTGGGGAGGGCGGCTTCTGGGATCTTTCTCCAAGAGGGGCGCTTCCTTGGATCCTACCAAGGGGGTGGTGCCTGGGGACGCAGCAGAAGCGGTTGTGAGTGGGAGCTCTGGGCAGCGACCAGAGACCGCGCACGGGAAAGAAGTTTAGCACCCCTGCAAGCAGCCCGCCGAACAGGGGGAGGGGACTCCGCTTTAAGTCTTCCAGCTGGGAGGGGAAGTGTCCAGGGTGTCCAAGGAAGAACAGGGCACCCGTAGAACGCACACCGCACTTCGGGCGCCGAGACCATCTTCCTCGTCCTGCACCCACAGCCCCCTCATTCCGCAMGCTGGGAGCCCCTGGAGAGCCGCACACTCTGTTACCCAGTGAGTCTGCCATCCCACTCGCGACCCCGCGCGTTCAGGCCACAGCCGAGGAAGGACTCCGGTTTACACAGACCCAGGCTTGCTGGTGCGCAGGGCAGCGACCGGAAAACTGTTTTCTCAGTCTGCAACAGCGCTAAAGGGTCTCCCGGTCGGCTGAGAGAAACCAAAGAGTGCAGCCTGGAGCGGCGGTATTCCTTCTGCCTAGCGCCAGGTTCCCCGGATCCTACGGGAACATAAAGCGCACCTGCCCTCCCGTCTGGGCGCGCCTCTCCCTGTTCAAATTCTGGAGACCCGCGCTCCTGCGAGACAGCTTTGCGGCTGCTGCTGCCTGAAGTCGGGTTGCACTGGGTGGAGCGGAGCTGGGGTCCCGCGTTGGAGTTCGGCCCCTCCTACTCATCCCCGCCCCGCCCTCTCCGGCCCTGCCCCCAACTCCACAGCTTCCCGCGTCCCTGCAGAGGCCTTGGCCTCCCGCCTCAATACCTCTCGGGAGCCCAGGAGGATCCAGACCCTACTCGGGAGGGTTCTCCTTGTGCTCGGACACTCGTAGCGCGCGTTGTGTATTTCCTCCGAAGATGTGGGGGCGAGCGAGGCCCGGAGAGTGTTTGGGGCCAGGCGGACTGGGTGCCATTGACAGCGCAAGGATCCCAAGTGCCTGTGTCCAGGGCCATAGGCTTGCCTCAACTGGGCTCCATCGCCGGCGGGGCTGCGGCGCACAATTGGATACTACGAGGGCTGACCCCGCCTAGAAAACCAGAAGAGCAAAACCCTTATGCGCCGGGCCTCACCGCACAGGGGTGGGACACCAGACGTGCAGCGCCGCGTCGCGCAGGCTTCCCAGCACTGTGAGCGCAAGCTCGGTCAGGAGCGATTCAGAATCCCGATCCACACAACGCCCCGGCCAAGAGTGGCTTTTGAAACCTCGACCTGATGGGTCCCTAACCCGTGGCACATAAAACGAAAATGAACCCCGGGAGGGAGAAGAGGGAGTGGACACTAGGCCGCTGCACAGAACCGCGGAGGTCTCCTCCTTCCAGGACACCCAAACCCCGGCGGCTGGGGCAAAATGGAAAAGTCGTTGGTAACGAACTGGCCCAGGCCCCAGAGAGCCGACCTCGAACACACAGCTTCCACCCAGAAACCCAGACCCGAAATGGCCGTCTTCATGCACACATTTGGGTCAYGGCTCCCCCCCAACCCGTAGCAGATGATTATAATAGCCTTCACCTGTTACTGTTAATACACAGCATTTCCCAAGAGGAAGACAGTGACAGCGCTCAGCAGCTGCTCAGAGCCTGCATAGGGTGGGGTCCCGGTCGACTTTGGTCTCATTTTACCTTGCAGCAATTCTCTGGGGTGAGAGTTCTCTGGACCCAAGGAGGTCATTAGGGCCACATGAGCAACACGTAAAGGCCGTGCTTTGCCTGCTGCTCTTCAAGAGCGCACCCACGTTCAGAATGGAAAGTGACACCCTACGCACCCTGGGCCTCAGAGCTCTGAGACAGCTGGGGTCCAGTTCTCCCCGCGGGGGCCACTGGTGGTCCTGGGTCGCAGCCCCTGCCTAGAGTCACCTCCCGGGTAACCTCTAATAGGAGACCCTGACCTCCCCAACGGGAAATCTCTGGGGGCCGCCACATCACCACCCAGCTGCAGGAAACCCAGAACCTCCACCCAGTATGTACTAACAGAGAGCTCGGAGTGTGACCCCTGTCCCTTCGGCCCTCCCTGATACAGAACGGGCCGTTCGTTGGCCAGACCAGCAGCCCATTCGCCCGAGTCTAGTCTGGCCATTCGATCCGTGTACTCGGAGCCTCAGCTTCTTCCTCCCTTCCTCGGCCAGGGCCCACCAGGACAGYGTTCGCTGTAAGCCTTCAGCAGAGGCCGACGAGCGCAGGGCGCGTTTCGGACCACAGTCCCTGCCTGCGCCCGCTGACCCTCGTCGTCTGGCCGCCCGGGGCTCTTCCCCGAAAAGGACGCACTGAACGAGAGGACTTGATCTTCAAATCTGCATTCTTTCCGGGGATAAAATATGTTCTCGTATTTTTTTCCTGATTTCCCATTAAAACCTTTGCCTAACTAAACTCCCATCCAACGGGATTTATTTCGTCCCTGGGGAGATAAATCAGGGGACAAATTTACAGCCCAGGAAGCACCTGCCGCACTAATGGGCCCTTCATGGAGTGCGCGGCCGGCGGGGGCGCGCGTAGACGGCGGGGCGCTGGCCAATGGCCGGGCGGCCGGTGCCCGCAGCCAATCAGCGCGCGCGCCGCGCCCGGGCCCCGCGGTTATCAGTGCGTCCGTCCCGCGCGGCGCCGCTCGGACCGGCCCCGGAGCCGCCGCCGCCGCCTGAAACCCCATCTCTCCAGCCCGCGCCGGAGCCGCCCGCCCGCTCGGGCCGTCGGCGCCCGCCCGCGCCCCGCGCGCCCCGCTGCAGCCGGCGCCCGCCCGCGCCGCGCACAAACTTCTCCGGGCCAGCGGGCGCGGGCGGCGGCGACGGGGCCCGGATGGGCGCCTGGGCCGGTGGCGGCGGCGCCCATGGACGCTAACCGCCCGGGCGCGTTTGTGCTGAGCAGCGCGCCGCTGGCTGCGCTGCACAACATGGCCGAAATGAAGACGTCGCTGTTCCCGTACGCGCTGCAGGGCCCGGCAGGCTTCAAGGCGCCCGCACTGGGAGGCCTTGGCACGCAGTTGCCGCTGGGCACCCCGCACGGCATCAGCGACATCCTGGGGCGGCCAGTGGGCGCGGCGGGCGGCGGCCTCTTGGGCGGCCTGCCCCGCCTCAATGGGCTGGCCTCGTCGGCCGGCGTCTACTTTGGGCCCGCGGCCGCCGTGGCGCGCGGCTACCCCAAGCCTCTGGCCGAGTTGCCCGGGCGCCCGCCTATTTTCTGGCCCGGCGTGGTGCAGGGCTCACCCTGGAGGGACCCGCGCCTGGCCGGCTCGGGTAAGTGGCCCGCGCGGGGCTCTGCGTGGGGCGGGCTGGGCGCGCGGACTGCTCTCACCCGCCCTCCTTCGCAGCCCAAGCCGGCGGGGTGCTGGACAAGGACGGTAAGAAGAAACACTCGAGGCCGACCTTCTCTGGCCAGCAGATCTTCGCGCTGGAGAAGACCTTCGAGCAGACTAAGTACCTGGCGGGCCCAGAGCGCGCGCGGCTCGCCTACTCCCTGGGCATGACCGAGAGCCAGGTGAAGGTGAGCGCGCAGGCCAGGGGCGGCCTCCCTGGGGTCTTGCTGCGCGGAGGCAGATCCCGGCGCCCGCGTCCTGCGAAGGGTCGGCGAGCGGCCGTCCGGCCTCTGCCAACCCCGAGAGGCGCCGCTGYACGGGTGCGCGGTGCTGGCCACGGGCGGACGGCGGGGTCGGGCCGGGTCSGCCGGGGAGGCCAGCGTTGTAGAGGACTCGGAATTTCGGAGGCCCCTCTGACGGACCTCTCCCGCCCCCAGGTGTGGTTTCAGAACCGCAGGACCAAGTGGCGCAAGCGGCACGCGGCGGAGATGGCGTCGGCCAAGAAGAAGCAGGACTCAGACGCAGAGAAGCTGAAGGTGGGCGGCTCGGACGCGGAGGACGATGACGAGTACAACCGGCCCCTGGACCCCAACTCGGACGATGAGAAGATCACGCGGCTGCTCAAGAAGCACAAACCCTCGAACTTGGCGCTGGTCAGCCCCTGCGGCGGGGCGGGGGACGCCTTGTGAGGACGCGGCCGGGCGGAGGACCAGGAAGCGGGGCGCCCGGCGCCCCAGACGCCCGCCGCCCGCGCCGCAGCGTGTATATATATTTTTACAAAATAAGTTATAAAGCGGCCCGGCTCCGGCTCGGCGTGCGGGGCCCGGCGGCGTCCCTTGGCGTGGGCGCGGGGTTCGGGCGGTCACTTTGTATAATCAATAAATTATTTAACACGTCCGGGTCGGAGCCGCGGCTCCCGAGGCTGCACCGCGTGTTTCTTCCGTACCGAGCGCGGCGCCTGCGGGCGGGCAGCACGGGCCTCCGGGCCGCGTCCCCTCGGTCCTCCCCGCGAGGCGCGGGGCCTGGCACAGGCGGGCACGGTGGCGCGCGATCGCGCCGGAGGCGGCAGCTCTCGGGAGCGTGGAGACAGCGAGGACGGGCGGGGACTCGGCCGACGCGCAGGGAGGGCGGCCCGGCCCGCGCACCCTCGGGCAGCTGGCTAGAAGGAAGGAGCCGCCGCGGAGGCCCCAGTGGAGCCAGAAGGAAGCGCGGTGCTCGGCAGGTATGGACCCCGCGGCCCGGAACAGGCAGCCCCGCACCTCGGGCAGGCCCAGGGTTGCGTGGGCTCACGTGGATGAGGTTTGGGCCAACTGACCACACTTGGGTGTGCCCAAATAGCGAGTAAGCCGCGTGCCGTCTCCCCAACCGGACCCAGCGCTGGAGCGGTTACTCTCTCCTTTTGCAGTTGAGAGGGGTGGGCTGGCCCTGTCCTTCCAGCAGCGGTCCTACTTTCAGACCAGGCTGGCTGTGCCTCATCCAAGGGTATTTTGAAATGATCATTTTTAAGTCTTTTGGCCAGAAGGATAAATATTTTTAATGTCTCCAAATTCACCTCGTTTTGAGATCAGGTTTGCAGTTCTTCCCTGTGGCCCTCGGGCTCCCATTGTAATAGGTTTTTCATCTGCAGAAAGCACTATTTCATTCAAGCTAGGGCCGCAAAGAGAAATCTGAAATAACTCTGCCCGAAGACGGACAGCTCATAAATCCCATGCAGAGCGACCCTGGGATGGCCTCCCAGGGCGGAGGGCTAGCTTCTCAGAGGGGCACAACTTGGAGGGACCTGGTGGAGCTCTTTCACAGGTCACAAGGAACGGCCCATGATCAGGGCTCCTGGTCAGAGCTGGAACCCATCAGCAAGGGCTGCATCCCAGTGGTTCCAACTCATGGGCACAGAGCCCTGGAGCCTACGGCTGACGCTTTCCTAGGCCAGTTTTCTTACCACAAAACCCATCCAGTGCTCTAAACAAGCTGCCCATCTGCTGGGTGCACACTCTCTAGATGCACCTCACTGGGCTCCCTGGGTCGCTGAGTTTTGACTTCATGTAAGTGTAAATGGTCCCATTTTCATGTTAATTACAACATTTCTCTTGGAAGGTGTTTTCAGAAATGTTTAAGGGAAGCGTGAAGGTGTAGGTTTTGCCTTTTGCCACTTGACACACCAAGGTTAAATCAATTCTTTTTAGCCCCGTCCCTTGTCCTAAAGGGAAGCCACGCTCTTTAAAAAGGGAAGCGGTATCATTTCTGTGAGTTATCTGAGTACAAGGGAAGAGTAGAGTTTCCGGTTTTAAATTTTTAAGGAAAGCAAAGAATTCACATAACCCAGTTATGATGTTGAAGGATAAGTCTTTTTTTACTACTGTAAAAAGCCCAAAAGATTATTTCCTATTCCTAACTAATGACCCTGTGAAAATATGTGAGACTGAAGTTCCAATGGGTTGAGCTTAACAACAGGGCACAAAAGAGGCCCCTCCTGCCACTTTGCATTTCAGAGGTGACGGACAGGGGAAGGAAGGACAAAGCCAGGGAGAACTGTTTTCACCATGATCAATTTTATTGCTTAGGAACCGAGCAGTCACTTCCAAAGGCCTTCCGAGTGAGAGTCACCGCCGCTGAAGCCCACAGACAGAACTGCTGCGTGGTGCCACGATGGCGTGTTGGTGAGCAGCGACGGCAGCACTCACAGACCGGCCCGTAGCGTGGAGAGCCTGGGTCCGAGCAGAGACCAAATCACTCGCGGTTGTAGTGGTGGTGATTGTGCAGACACCCACGTCGACCTCACGCCGTGCCCAGTCCAGGAGCTGTAGTGTTCTGAAGTAGATAATATGCCGGCGCTGCGTCTCCACCCTGCAGTGGCCCCGGCTGTGCTCAGGCGGGGAGCAGAGGTGGCCACAGGGTGGGCACGCAGGCGCAGTGCGGCCCAGTGCTGCTTCTCTCCCGTGGTCTGTACAGCCCATGTTAGAAGCGATCTCTGTGGGAAGCGGACAAGGCTATTTCTAATTCTCCCACGAGATTATGGTTTAATGTAGAATATTGGCACCATAAAACGGTAACAAAGGACAGACAAAACAGTTTACAAAATCCTTAGAAGGTACACACAGGGTAGCAATAAACTTCACATTCAGTTCTTAATGTTACAGAAAAGGCAGAGGAGTGACAAATTGCTGGCCCAGCGGGTGCAGAGGCCTTGCTCCTGGCACTGCTGGTCACCTGTCTGCGTCCACACCCACTCCACACACCTCGGCCGCAGCTCTGCCCGCTGCTACGACGCACATTCATACTGAAGAGTGTATGTAGCATAAGTTTTGATAAGATTTATAAATTATTCTTAAAAAGTATATATTTATATGTATTTATATATATAAAAATGGGAAGCAGCTGCAGTGTGATTCGGACACCATGTAACATGGCAGTAGAGTCGGCCACGGAGCGGCCTGGGCCCGGGCAGGCACTGGAGGCCTCCTCCTGGCAGAGGGCACCGACACCGTGGGGTTCCTAGGCGGGAGAAGCTCCTCCACAGACAATCATTAAAAATGGAAGATTTTGAAATCTAAAATACAGAACCTCTTTGCTATTAGAGTTTTGGCAACAGGATGTGACTTATTATTTTTTTTAAAAAAACCCAATGCTTCTACTTAATGTCACACAAACAGACACAACAGTGAGGTATGTGAGGCTTTCCCGGCGTGGTCCGGAGCTGAAGCGAAGTGTGGGCCGGCCGTTGAGCAGGTGCTGCCTGGGCGGGTTTCTGATGCTGCTGCAGGAGTATTTCATACGCTGCTACAGGGAGGTCTCACGGAGGGTCCCCTCGCTGCGCGGGCACCTCTTCCCTGAATTGGAGTCAGTAATTTGTTAAAGGTACAAACACACCAGGAAAAGCTCAGAAAAGGAGAACTGAGGGAAGGAGGCATATTTACCACACGTCACTGCACGACACAACACTTGTGCACACGTGCATGAGGTTTACCTGCCCCGGGCGCCATGCGGAAGGCCAGGAACACGGGCTGCAGCGGGAGAGGAGGGTGTCAGTGCGCACGCGCCGCCACCTCCCACAGAACCTCGAGTCTCGGGGCAGCTGGGATGTGTCCTGGGCAGGTGTGTGCTCTGAGCACAGGCCGAGAGCCAGCTGGCCTGGGCCTGCAGCCTGGGGCCAGTCWCAGGGCCCCACACAGCCTCTTCGMGTTCCAGGCAGAAACCAGCATGAGCACTGGTTTACAGAACTGCTAAGTCAGCCTCAGGCCGGTGGGGAAGGAAAGTGTGTCCAGCCTCTGCCACGCTCTGTGGCCAAGGACYAGAGGACCCAACGTGCTCCCGAGTGTCCCTGAGGACTGCTGGGCTGCTCTGGGTTGGGGCACGAGTGGTCTGTGTGGACTGTGGCTATCCCYGAGTGCGTGGGTCCCACGGAACATGCACTTGCTGCTACTCTGCCTGGCGGGCCTGAGCCAGGTGTGAGGCCAGAAAATGTTGCAGGTCCTGGAGCAGCAGGAGAAGTGGCCTGGGCACACAGGAAGCTGCAGAACTAACTACTGCTTCTGGCAAGTGGAGAATGAGGTATCCTGTTTGACTGCAACTAGCCTCCTCAGCTTTCTCCCTACCTGGCCATCTCTCTCTCAGCATTTTATTAAGATTAAATAAAAACCCACCAACTCAGCCAGAAATAAGGAGATGAGAAACGCTGCCCACCCTCCAGTCCCCCAGCCTCCTGGCCCCTGGACCGCAGCACGGTGCACGTCACCTTATGGTCTCCCATGCAGACGTTGGGCCCGATGTGGTCATAGGTGACAACCTTCTCCTCGCTCTCAGACTGGAAGCAAACAGAGAGAGGGTGGTGTGGGTGACCCCAGCAGCAGGTGAAAGGGGCTTCGGGTATCCTGGGGGCAGAGGGGCGGGACACTGTTTGCTCCGCCCATCTGCGGAGCTCTGCAGGGTGGGAGCGTAACTGGGAGGGAATGAGCCGCCAGCCCCTCCCACTGAGAAGAACCCTGCTCCTCAGACAGAGGTGGCCTGGGGGTGTGGGGGCGTCAGGGCTCCCCCAGGCCTCCTCCTGGCCCACAGGTGGATGGGGCCTGGTTACCAGGGTGTCGGTGCTGCTCTGAAGGCCCTCCTGGGCCCTCTGCTCCCCTACCTTGCCTAGGACACCTGTTTCTGATGTTGCTGTCAGCCCACAGCCCTGTTTACCGCAGACACCCAACTTCTCTCTGCCGCACAGAGCAGCATGTGTGTGCTGGTGGACACTGTGGCACACCTCCTTCACCCAGCACCTGGGAGGCTGGCAGGTGCCCATGCTGCAGTGTGGATGGTAGCGGGTTTGTTGATGGCAATCAGTCAGCTCTGATGGGGCTGGAGTTTTACATCCACAACTGAAGCATCCAAGACTATAAAGTTGAAACTGAATTATCTTTAATGCAGTAAGAAGCTTAAGGTCAGATTTACTTTCCAGCATGGTCATCTGCCAGAAAGCATAAAGACACAACCTCGGCACCGCACGCACCAGCACTGCCCATCTTTCACGAGCCTGAGCCGCTGCCGCGGAAGTGGGGACACATTCATCAAACACAGCGTGGTGATTTGCAAAGGCAGCACAAGATTGTGGATTTTCAACTGCGTGATCTTTGGACAGATAAACAAATTACAGCGGGCGCAGGCAGACGCGGGCACACCTCACTGGCGTTCAGCTCCGCGGCTCCCAGGCAGCGCGCGGCTCGCCGTGTTTCAGGGCTCGGGAAGCAGAACAGAACATGATGAYGAGGAACCAGAGCATGGCGTGATGGATGGCACCAGAGGCTGCTCACGGCACCATCTGCTCAGCTGTGATGCCTGCCGCCCACGGGCAGCCTGGGCGGGGGAGGCAGTGGGACTTCAGCCTCCCGATAGGGCCTCCTGGGCACCATGGGCCTCAGTGGAGGCCAGAAGCAGAGCCCAGCTGCCCACAGTGACTTTAAAGTGTGGAGTCTGGGTCTGGAGACCAGAGGAAATGTGGGCAGCTGACAAACAGGACAGACGCTGGCTTTCTGGTGCTGTCTAGGCTCTGGCCTGGCTGAGCAGGGTCCTGCCATCTTGAGCCACACCCAGGTCTCGCCACAGAAGGCAGCTCTCCTGGCTCTGGATGTCTTCCTGGTGGGGGTCAATGGCCACCCTCCCCACCTCAGTCCTCTCAGCACTTTGTTCTGGCCAGCTTCARCTACTGTGTTCTCTGCTGTCTGCCCAGTGCTTGCAGAGTCACCTCCACAGGGCTGATGACCACCCCAGCCAGAGGGGCCAGGGTGTGTCCAGAGCAGGCCTTCCCCCCAGCTCACCCTGGGTCTGGAGGCTCCTGGCCAGAACCCGGTGGCCTCTCTTCAGCCCAGATAAGGGGCGCCACAGTGGTGCACATTCTGACCCCAGGCTAGAAGGCAGGGCTGCCTGCCACAGCTGCCCCGGGGCAGACCTCTGCCCTGCCCACGTCCCCAGCAGACCCCAGAGCTCAGGACCCTCTGTCCCGACTCTGGCTGTGGGAGCAGGGCCCTCGCAGGGCAGAGACTGGGTGCGGCTGTGCCTTGGGGGTGGGGCAGGAAAAGCGAGGTGCAGGACGAGGCCGGGGACAGTGCCACAGGGAGAAGGCCAGCCAGCCAGCCAGGCCTCAGCGGGAGGMCAGTGGGGCAGCAAGTTGGGAAGGCCACCTCAAGGGCACACAGAGAAGCTGGGTGTGCTGGCTGGCAGAGGGGCATGGGTGCGGCAGCTCAGGGCAACTCAGGTTAATGGTGGGCTGCTAAGAGGGGGTCCCCGCTACTCTGGGCCCAGGCAGGGGCAGAGCACACAAAGCCTCAGACCCACAGCCTCCTGCYCTGCGTACCCACTGCTGCCCTCGCCAGTCTTCACCGATGGGTGACATCACTCACATGCTRGCTCTTTTAGAAACACTCGGGTGTCGGGAGGTGGGAAAACCCTGGAAATCCCATGTAGCCTAGCCATTCCCTGACACGGAACCCTGCGGCCTCCCAGAATGGCACCCACCCTTCTCTGGCTGCTGRCGCCCTGGGTGGACCTGCTCTGACCACACCTTATGCTGACAGACACACCTCCGGGCTCGTGGCCTACCTGCTCATCCATKGCCGAGCCCTGAGTGCCAGCGTGCAGAAGCTGGGACTTCCAGACCCTGCCCACCACCCTACCTCGCATGTCCCACTGAGACAGTGGCTCTCACTGGGGCCTGAGCACTAGCTGGAAGAACCGCAGAGCTTCGGCTCAGCTGCCCAGGGAAAGGTCAGGACACTACCTCGGTTGTTCCCAGGCTGAGCAGCTCATCGCGCTTGCCCTGAAGCCCAGGCCTGCTCTGTGCCTCCCAGTGGCTGATCCAGGCAGCTCCCACTTACTCTGAGCACCAGCTCCTTGGCTGACAGGGACATGAGGATGCGGTCACACCATGCGGGGCACCGGGTGTTCATGTACTGCTCACCCTGCCTGGAGTCCTCGCTGTACGGGTAGCTGGGGAGACACGGAGGAAAAGGGTCATCAGCACCCCAGCTCCAGGCAGCCTCCACACTCCAAAGGGAAGCTGGCTACTCAGGGAAAGAATGTACGAACAGAAGTTTCTAGAATATAAAGGCAAACTCACAGCTTAAGTTCKTGTATCAAACGGTCCTCTGCACGAGGTCTGTAGACAGCTCAGGGCAACCCAGCTGCAAGCATGCTTCCTCCACCTGCTCCAGTGCCTGCAGTGCCCACCTGAGGGTCCAGGTGCTGAGGCTGCAACCCTGGGGCCACCACACTGTGGTGGGCATGGCTGTCCCTGGTTTGGTGCCCTCTCTGTCCCTGTCCGTTCCCTCTAAGAACCTGGGAAGGGGCTCAAACCACCATGCAAGTGCCTGACCTGAATGAAGGTGACAGTCCCTTTGGACTCGCTGACCATGAGCTGAGCATCACCACCCTGCATCATCCAGGGGGCGGGCRTCTGTGCCTCAGGCACCTGGCATCTGTCCCCAGAATAGCTTGCCCAGAGAATCCCCACATGTGCTGCACTTGAGGGGCAGCCCTCGGCTCCGTCTGTGTCCACCTCCGGCGCTGCCAGTTCTCTGCCATCCACCTGCCTGCCTGTCTGGGTATTCTGACAGGGACTGTCCCGTRGACTGTCCCATGCTTCGCGTGGCTGGCTGGGAGAACACCCCTGAGTTCCGCTGTGCACCCCTCTCGCCCAGTCAGGGTCCTCAGGACTCTACAGGCCGTCTTTCCAAAAGCCTGCTGTCACTGTGCTTGCTCGAGTTGATCTCAAAATGCCACACAGCATTTGCCGAGAATGGCATGTGCTCCATGAGCTTCTTCCTATTACTTYACTGGCAGAGAAGAGTGCAATTGATTCTGCAGGCGGAGGCTGCCCTGGGCGCTGCCAGGTGTTGGTTCTGTGGGCCTCTAGGGCGGCTCACACACAGGCGGGCCGGCTCCCACTGCCTTGGGGAGGCCCAGGGACCTAACATTACCCCTGCGCCTCACCCATCCAGTGGCACACCCTGGTGCCACGCCTTCTTTTGGCTCTCCAGGGGGATCCTGCAGATGATCCCGGAACTGTAGCCTGTGACCCCAGCCTYTCACAGGAAGTCAGCACTTGGCCTAACCAGAGCCTGTTTTTGGCTAAAAACAAAATCCGCAAACGCCCACTTGTAACAACACTGTATTTTTAAGAGTACAGGACACTAGAGACCACTGCATGTTTTCCAGGGAGCATACGCAGCTGATGGCCTGTCTAAAGCTGACGGTCACCTTGCTCCAGTGTGCGTCTCCCCACCATGGGCTGTGAAGGAAGGGTGCCCCTCCAGGGCCGCACCCCACCCCACACGCTCTGCTGCAGCCACCCAGGAATGGCACCAGGGTTCGCGTGGGCCCTGGGGTCAAGGGCAGCACGGCCCCTGGGCTGCAGAATCAGGTGGTACAAGTCTGCCCCACGCAGGCAGGAGACCAGGGGAAGGAAGGGCGTGGGGCTGGGCCAGCTGGGCAGGAGGCTGCAATGTGAGCTCCGCCTTCCTCTGGCTGTGCTGGGGAGGGAGCCCCACCAGGACCAGGCAGCAGGCCCTTCCACGCACCAGGAGGTCCTCCTGGCTCAAGCGCAGACGGAAATCTCCATGAAAACACGGCCTCATCCACTGCCTGACCCTCAGCTGCCCAGTGGGAGATGGCTGGCTTCTCTGCATGGAGTGAGTGTCAGCTCTCCCTGTCAAGAGTGAGGTCTCAGCGGGCAGTGGCTGTGTCTGTCCCAGTTGCTGTTCCCAGCTCTCTCCGGACAAGATCTAGCGTGCAGCTACTGCACTGCCCGGCAGGGTCTGACCAAGCCTAGCCTCAACCATGTCCCTGGCAGGAGCTGGCTTAGGACACAGAACTGAGACCCTGTGCTTTCAGAGACGGTCACTGTGTGCACAGGAGCAGCAGAAAGCCTGCCCATGAGCACCTGTGGCCTGGGTGCCCTGGAGCCTGCACCACAACACGCCCCAGGGCCCGAGTCCAGGGTAAACATGAGTTCTGGGTCTGAAGCATGGCAGGTGCCTTTTAAATGAGGCTCTGTTCCTCAAGAACACCATGGTGCATGGGAGCTTGTGCTGACCCCTGAAGCCAGAGCTGGCAGAAGGCCAGGGCCACCTCTTTGGGCCACGGGGAAAGGAACTGAGAGTGGTTGATGGACACACTGGGTTCCGTGCTGGCCACAGAACAGCCAGGATGGCAGCACCGACTCCCTGTGYAGCCCAACCCAGCTGCACCAGGACCCTGGTGCCCCTTGTGCTCTRGTTCCTTTGGATCTCAGGACAGATCCTGGCTGCCAAGGGAGAGGCCCAGGTTGAAGGGCTGTCCTGGCCCTTACTGTGGGGTGGTGCATCCTGATGCCCGAAGAGTGAACATGGAGGTTCTGGTCCCAGGTGGGCCTGGGAGGCCAGTGTGGACACCAGGGTCTCAGGTCCTGCTCCACTCACACTGCAAAGCTGACACCTGGGCGGGACGAGCAAGGCCTGTCTGCTGAGGGGCTGTCGCAGGTGGTGCTATGCCCCCAGACTTATCTGGATGCAAACCTGCACCGCGGGAGGCAGGACACACTGCCCTATCTTGGCCCCATATAGCTCCGGGAATGATCGTCATAATTAATTGCAGTGGTGATAAAATTAACAATCGCCCACCTGTGCTCCCAGCCACCCGGCCTCCTTCCTCCTTGCCCCTCGTGCTCCCGCAGGATGTGGGCAGCAGCTCTTATGCCGGCAGGTTGTTTGCTTGTGGCTGGGCGGAGGCCTGGGTGGCTGGGCTGGATAGTGTTGCCATGGCTCTGTGGCCACAACCCCCCGGGCGAGCACAGGCATGCGTGCTGAGCACAGGGCCTCGGGGCTCCCTGCGCCTGAACCACAGTCGGCAGGCGGCTGTGAGGCTGCTGACCCTGGGAAGGCTCCCTTTCCTCTAGCTCTCACCTGGTGAGCACCGAGACACAGCTACCTCAGGAGTACCAAGCAGGGGACAATGAGCTCATTACAGGGAGAACGAGGCCTGGAGTCACAGTGACAGGGGGGTGCAGTCTTAGTCTCCTACTGCACAGTCGCCAGCTGCCATGGAGACGCCTGGACAGAGCCTGAGACCAAGGGCAGAGACTGAGCAGCAAGACTGGAGGCAACGCTAMACCAGGGGGAGGAGCCACAGACAGCAGAGGCTGCACACATTAGGGCTCGCTCCCTCCGGGAGGCCAGGCTGTGGGCAGGGCCTTCCACACACCACTCACACTCTCAGCCTGCATCCAGCCAGGGCTCCGCCAGCCGGAGGACGTCCCTGCTCCTGGCCTGGATGGTGGCAGGAAGGCTCACCTTGCTGCCATGACCCCAGCAGAGCCCTGCAGGCAGTGGGGCACCACATCCTGGCCCTGGCAGCCCTTAATAAAAGTAGGTGCTACAGGAGAGGCCACCTCTGCTGGCCATCCAGGGCCTCAGCCTGTGTCACTCAAACACCAGCGCCTGATCCTATTCTGTGGTCTGTTCATTAAAGACATTCCCTCCTCACAGCTGGGCGCTGACCCTCCCCACTTGACGTGCTCTGGGAAGTTCTGAYGGGGAGGCGCAGGTGCGCATTTCCCATTTCCTCTGTGAAAGGCCTGCTCAAGTGTGGAATTGTGAAACAAGCTGTGCTTGTGCAAGGGGTGTCCAATGCACGCTAGCCCTGGGCTCCGGCTGCCGGGAAGGGCACACGGGGCTGCTGGGCCCCGTCTGTGCGGCTCACGCGGCGCTGTCCTGCTGCGAGGGCCTCTGCTTCAGTGCCCAGCACACGTGCACTGGGTGCTTTCCGCTTGCTTCAYTTGGGGCTGTTCTTGGCGTATGGCATGTGGGTCTCTGGGGATCTCGGGGACCTTCCAGGGCTCAGAAGGCAAAGAAGTTAGCAAGCCTCACAGCAGGCCAAGACAACTGGCTGCTTCCCAGTGTGGCTACTGCACGGAGGCCTAGGCTACAATGAGTGGGGTGGCCAGCAGGCCCACGAGCACCCAGAGCCAGCTGGACCAAGGCCTGCTCTCCCTGAGCTCCCACCTCTGCAGCTGCTCCTGCAGACTGGCAGAGGAGTGGGGCTCCTCAGATGGGCGACTGGCAGCCATCCTCTTGAGAAGGGACAAGATGAGGTGAGCCTGCCTCTCAAGCACTGACAGCATTTGCTGCCCATGACAAAACTCAAGTTTTTGAGAAAAATCTAGAACTTCGGAAAATGTATCTGCCCATGAGTTGGACAGCATCCCGTCCTGAAGACTCTTCTGATGAGACTCGGTGTCCCTCCTGAAGAAGGTGCCCTGGGCTCCGCCAGGGAGCCATGTGGACATCCGTCACTTGTCCGCTGGGCCAGCACTTACTTCCACAGGACCCTCCCATGGGCAGAGGCTCCCCTCAACAGAGCCAGGGCACCTGGGTGGCTTGGGCGCAGTAAGGCTCTAGGCAATCCGCGTCTCAGTCAGAGAGCAGAGAACAGCCACAGCTTGGGAGGGTCGGGACGCTCCCTTCTGCTCCAGCTCTGCCCGCTGGTCGCCTTCCAGTCAGACGACAGACTGAATCTGAACTACCACCACCCTTCTCATCTTCTCCTTTTGTTTGGAAAACAATTACATTTATTAAAAGTTATAAAAATATGTTTATAGAAACCTAAGAGTTTATTATTGTTATTTTAAAATGTAGAAATAAATATTTAAAATTTATGGAAACTATCAGCAGATACAAAACTCCTTGGGGCCCCTGACACTTTGAGCAGTGTAGGGATCCAGGCCCACAGAACTGCAGCTCTCCCCAAGCAGTGATCAGGCCACCTGCTGACGGTGCAGCCCAGCACTGGTCGCAGAGTGGTGGCCCAGGAGCTGGAAGCAGGCAGTGAGAGATCATGGGTCGTGCTGGTGCACAGCCCGCCATGCCAGCGTGGACCTGAGGCGTGGCCAGCCAGCACCAACCTATTTTGCTGAGGCAGCTCAGCCCAGCCCGGCAGAGACACCTGTTCCTTAG